AGAAACTGGAGATATTCTAACTAACAACAGTAAGGAGGCCAGGTGCTGGAGATATTCTAACTGACAACAGTAAACAGATCAGGTACTGGAGATATTCTAACTAACAACAGTAAACAGATCAGGTACTGGAGCTATTCTAATAAACAACAGTAAACAGGCCAGGTACTGGAGATATTCTAACTAACAACAGTAAACAGGACAGGTACTGGAGATATTCTAACTAACAACAGTAAACAGGACAGGTACTGGAGATATTCTAACTAATAATAGCAAATAGACCAGGTATTGGAGATATTTGGAGATGAAAGTTAATTTACCTGTGAGACAAAAAAGAAATGGCTGCTTTAATGAAAAGTGTAGCCAAGGACAATAATTAGCAATGGTGATGTTCTACATATCTGTAGAGTACAAACTCAACTCTAGATTTTTTTATACAAGCTCATAATTCACTGGTCAGTGCTTTCTAACACAAATTTAAAAAATAATCAAATGAAAACTTACAATATAATTTACTTCTAATTATTCTTGGAGCTATGAACTTTTTAAATCAATGCAAGTGTAACACAAATGTGTTCAATAGGTCAGCTAATAACATTTATTATTTTAATGATAAAACAAGAAATGAACTTTAAATTTGTAGTTTGATAATTTATCAGTTTTTTCCTAAATGAGTAAAACATAACAAATATCATCGAATAAGGTAGATAACTACATCTATGGCAAAACATTAACATCATCTTAGGCTAGTTATAAGATTTGTAATTGTAGAGACACATTATCCACTTTTATGAAAATGTTTTCATCACTTAAAACTGTCAAAATATGCAGTAAAATAACCAAGTTGCTAGGGAATTGCAACCAATTATCAAATCACCAGAATGTACCCTTCAAAAACTTGATGTTTCAAGCTTCTGCTTTTGTAAATTCCTCTATTTGTTTTACTTTCTGGGTGCACAGTCGTAATAAGTACAGGCCTTGGATTAACTCAACTACTTCCAGTATATCGAAAAGGAGTATATGGCCAACATGATTTATGTTAGCCCTCTTTCACTGTTTACATAATACATCCACACTGTGTGGAAAGAAAGAAATTATTCATTTTTATCAATTATCACAAGGCACTGGACCAAATTGTACCCACAGCAATGACCATTCTTTGATACATTTTCATAAATATTTAGTCAATTTTGAAAATGACTTGTTCTAAAAAAACTGTGGGTATATAATGTCATCATGCTGATAATTAAAAGATTAGGAACTAGTTTTATTCTGTGTAGCTGCAATTGTTTTTTAACCACACATTTAATACTAAATTTTCAAAGGATATAGGGCTTTAGATATCTCAAAACTAAATCATTTATAAGAAGCAGCTAAATATAGTTACCCATTCCAATCTTTAAAGACTTTCTGAGCAGCCACATAATCATCCCTAGTTAAGTGAACAAGAACGATAGCCACAACAAGGCGTCCAGCACCAGGTCGATTATCTCCTTCTAAATGAAATTGAAGCTCCTTTTTCATCATCTCAGCTGCTTCATCATACCTATAATAAATTATTACATGAAATAATATTTGACAAAAATGATCAATCCATCAAAAATAATCAATATTTCTACAGTTCAGGTACTTATAACAGATATATAAATTACAACTTAAATGTTCTTGTACACTGAATAATAAAAAAATTAAGATGGAAGTAAATGATCAAAAAAAAGATGATTCTGTTAACCTTGTATTAATTTTACAGTTGTGATATGCAAAAGCATATTTAGTAGTATTTCATGTTTTCTTTAGTCAATCAGATGAACATGAAATATTCACCAAGTATTTCCAACGGTTTTTATACATAAACTTTTTTAACCATGTATGTGTAGTTTTGAGAACAGAATGTTGGTCTAGGAATGTGGCTAATTTCCTTTCACGCTTGCTACCTATTGTTTTGGATCATTCCCTATGGTGTCACCTGCATTTTCTCGTGGGAAAGACTGGCTGCTGTGAAGTAGAATGCAATATGTAAGGGTTGACAAGGAACTTTTCCACTGGTGACTCACATGATACCTTGATGATATATCCTCCCATATTTTCTATAATAAATAACCAACAGTGATGTGGGTACCACATGCACAATAAGAGGGAAGGCATTATAAAAGTTTGTAGATAATGTTTATCTCAGTGTGAAACAAAAATAAGAGAATCTCTAGAGAAGATCTCCAGTATATGCACTGTCCATTGTCTCTGTCTTGTGGAATAAATGTTGCTTTACACATCATCACACACACTGTCTTTTTTCTTCAACTCAAAATCAGAACCAAGTTTAACTCCATGAAAGGTTTCCTGATCATTCCTTTAGCTACTTGCAGTTACCAGCCAAAAGGTAAATCAGTGTACCTGAGAATATCACACAGTCTAAGTAAAATGTAAGCACGGTATTATACAGAGTTTTCTCTGAGCTTACACTTTGTGTATTCATTATGTCCAACCACAGCATAAATTAAATAGCCCCTTTACAGTAAAAAACATAAAACTATTTCTGTTTGTATTTGTTTGCAAGATTTCAATTCAAATAATTAAATGTTTGTAATATAAATAATTTTCACTGGATTACTCATGCAACAACACTGAAATTGTATAAATATAAATGAAAAGTACACGCAAGTTTTGATGTAATAATTTGATTAGTTGATCATTTTGTGACAATAATAGAGTTAATCATAATTTGGATTAACCTAAGTAAATAATTAAAACACACTGCTACATTAATGATAATTTAATCAAAACAAAAACACACAGAAAGTAGAGAAGTAACAACAAAAATAATGCACATATTAAAGAATGTGCAATTTAAATGAAAACTTCATGTTATTCAGGGTTGGAGAATGCTGTTTGATGTGGAGAGTTTCTTTAATCAGTAATTCCAGATCAGTGTTGGCTTTGCAAAGGATACTGAAATTTGATAAGTTCGTGTCCTACTTCTTCACTGTGTTGGCGTATTGAGGAAACACAGGAGTTACTCAACGTTTTTTGTGTTTTCATGGAAATTCCCATATGTTCATTGGCTCTAACTATCAGATGGCATTTCGTTTTGCTAATATAGAAAGTCTTACTGTCTCCACACATGTAAAGATATAGCTTGGAATACAATGTATTTGTAAATTGTTTCTAGGCAAGGAATTGGTGGTACCTTCATTGTTAAATACTGTTTTGGTATAAGCAATTAAACAAACACTATATATATATCATCTTGTTATGTTGCAAGTTTAACCATAGGTCTGGTCACTTAGATTAAGACTGACCCATCTGGTGCCAGGAGACCTTTCTTGAAGTTTCTAGAACAAGAAGCCTTCAGAAAGTGTTACTACGAGAAAGCACAGTAAGTGTTAATATAATGATGTTATAACAAAGATTACTATTACCAGATTGAGAGTTTAAAATTTTGAGTTCAGTTAGTTTAGTAAGTTAGGAAATCAAAAATTGTCAAGCATTAGCTCTGTTAACCTTGAGTGAGTTTTTAGAACACGACTGTTTCCACAGAACATAATTGTTTTATGTTCTGGGAGGAAATTAAACTTCAGCATACTTCTGGACTGGCTTTAGAACTATTGTGAAGTAAGTATTAGAGTTGTTTTAATTTCTGAAGAAAATTATCACATTTTATTTATAACCTCTGTGATTTATTTGTCAATTAAACAAGAATCCAGTTGAAGCTGATAAAGAAAAAATTCGTTTTTAAACCCCTCAATATGGTAGTGAAATAATGAAATTATCATGAAAAATCAGACTCGTAAAAGTTCAAATTTTCCTTCCTGAAATACTTCTCCACAGAATAGTTAGCTAGTGTCTCAGGGCTACTGGTGAAAAGTTTTTGCACATGTGCTAAGCTGCTATAAGAGCCCTAACTCCTGCATATAATAATGTGTGTTGTGTTAGTCTATGTTGCAAGCAACATTAGACTGTATCACTCTAAAAGTAGGAGGGTGACACAACCTCCTTGCACAGTATTCCCCTTAAGCACTTTGCACAAACCAAAATCTCATTCTTTACAAGCAGACACATCAGAAGTGGGGAGGTAGGGTTGGTGGTTCTGTGGAGAGGTTGGTTCAGGAAATGGAAAGTGTTAAGTTCAGACTATGGTATTCACTTTTCTAGAGAACAATTAGCTAGAATCCTACACTGAAAAAATGGTAGAAGAGCCAATGTAAAGAAAGAAATCAAAAAGGTGAGCTCCTTTCTGAGACTGTAACAATAAATCTTTTTGTTTGTAGTTAAGCACAAAGCTACACAATGGGCTAACTGTGCTGTGCCCACTACGGGTATTGAAACCTGGCTGTAGCAATAGAAAGGGAAAATTTCATGGAGTGTATTTCCCACTGGTAGAGGAGAGGAATCTAAATGAAGTAGCACTCGGTTGGACACCACATCCACCTCAAACAAGAAATATAAGTTGGACACCACATCCATCTTGAGCAGGAAATATTCTTTGCGTAATATAAATGGCTGTTCAGAAGGTTTAGTCAAAAGAACTTTCTACTTTTTGCTATAGTGTTGCAAAGGTAGATGAAATGCAAAGGCTTGAGAGGAGAACTTAAGACACATCCACCTGGTCACAACCACCAGGAATCAATCAGTTTCAACAAAGTATTTTCTGCTTGGCTGTAGCAATGGATCCCAGATTTAAACTTGACTGTTGTTTCACTACACCCATGGTCTATGAATACAATTGAATGCTCCTGCAGCTAAAAGTTAAGAAAGTTTCCTCAACAAATAATCCTACAACCATGGAATCAAAAGAGGACTGTAAATATTCCCCTCGTAAAAGAAGCAAGCTCTTTAGTTTCTTTGCTGCCTCCGAGAAACCAGCTGCCTCATCTTCAGAGGATAAAGAGATTAACACTTACCTTGATGATCCTTGCATTCCTGAAGAAAGCAACCCTCTAGGTTATTGGAAGTTCCATGAAAAAAAACTTTCCTAACCTGTCTTTACTGGCCAAATGCTACCTGAGTGTTTCAGCATCCTCTGCTCCATTGAGCGATTGTTTAGCATCGGAGGCAAAACCCTCAGACCCGATCGCTGCTGCCTCACTGAGAAGACATTTGAAAGATGCATGTTCATAAAGAACATTGGACAGTTATAATATCTGTAACTCTCTTTTAAAAATATATTTTTTTGTTCTAAAACTTTATTATTGCATTCTGAAAAATAAAAGTATTGAAATGTTATTATTTGTTCAAATTTTGTTTGTTTCAGTTTCTAAAAAGTTTGTTTCATAAAATAAAAGTTTTGAAATTTTATTGTCTGCTGTTTTATCATTATTGCATATTACCTGATAAAGTATTCATGAATATATTCCTATGTATTTGTATTCGAATACTTAGCATTTTTCCTGTATTCGTTTTCGATTACTGATCTCCAGTATTCGCCCCATCCCTGACCAAGGCACTAGCTAATTATTCTGTAGAAATATGAGTATTGCAGTCTGAAAGAGAACTTGTAATATAAAATATATATATATAATAAAAGCCCAAGACATATAAACCTGACAGACATCAATAAAGAGAGCTATTTCTACTAATCACACATAAACTGTAACTAACAGCACATGAAAAGGTCTTGGTTGTAACAGTTCTTAAAAAACTATACCTCTTAAGCTTCAAAAGAAGTCTCACTGCCTTTCCAACATATTCTGCAGCTTGTTTTGGTCGTTCTTCAAGCTATAAAATAAAAATACATGTCCAAATAAGCTAAAAATCTTTTAACATATCTAGTTGCACAAAAGTACTACAATTTAATAAACCATGTTAAATGTAAGAAGGTTAAGTAGGGATAAAAAACAACAGGTATTTACTGTCTGCTCATATAATTTTGTAAATTAATGCACCATACAGTAGGTATGGATATGTCACATTACTTGTTATTTGCAAATTACAGTTTTTCCACACTGTAATCAGCCTACATGACCACATGATTGTGCTTATACCAAAATAATAGCTAAAATCTAACAAAAAAACTTATAAAAACAGCTTACATAAGATTTAAGTAAAACATTTTCCTCTTTCTTCCAAAACAACCACTACAAAACATGCAATTCACATGCTATCTAAATAAAAATATTCTGTTACTACAGTGGAAGTCACGTGACGCTGCTGGCGCTGGTAGCATGTGTGATGAGTTTCTCGAATGATTGGGGAAGTCCAAGTGTGTTCGAGATGCTCTCTTCATTAGTATATAAGCCTGGCAGAGAAAGCCAGCAGATATAAATAAAGAGAATGCAGTAGCTACTTTGAGTTCCGTGTAATTTATGATTCTGTTAGTTTCGAGCTAGTGAGCTGTAAAGTGTGTGTTTTGACTCATCGAGAGCGATATTATCGAGATTGTGAATCGCTGTGATTTATAGTGTGTATTATAAATGTTGTCAAGTGACGAGAAACGTACTGATTGTGGAACTTCTGTGTACTAAAAGTTTGTATTGAGGAAGAATAAACTGGTTTAATCAAGAAAGAACTTGTATCGCTGAAGATCCTTGGACAGAATTTCTACTGGAAACAAACAAACAAGCAGATACATAACACTTCTTTCCATTCCCAAAACAACTAACACACATTAAAAAACTGGCATAAAAACCTAAAGAAAAATTCAAAAAACTTCTTCCTAATTCCAGGAACTAAACAACTGATACACATTCTAAAAAAAAACCTCTTTTTTCCTAAAACAACTACCAAACTATACAAAATAAATAAAAATCTTCTTCCTATTTCCAAAACAATTACCAGCAATTATAACTGACATACAAATTAAAAACAATCTTTCCTTACTTCCAAAGCAGAAACTTTCTTCATCCAGAAAGTCAGTCTGACAATGAACATGATCATAGTCATACACACATATAGAGAGCCATGTTTCCACAGTTATTCAGTTCTAGTGATTTACCTCTTTTATTGGCATTGTTCTTTTAAGGTGGATTGTACATATACATATTTAAAACAGAGATACTTCATTAAAACAATAATAAATACAAAAAGACTTTCAACATACAACCAATTAGACCATAGGTTTTCAATAAATAACCAATCAGAATTTTAAAATTAACTCCTGTTGATGAGCACTGTTTATATCAAATAATCATAATTTCTTCTCCATAGCAACCTTAATTAGCAACAGAACTTTAAAATGTTTACAAATAAATAAATAAATAAGAAGCATTTTAAAGTGTTTGTTTGTAGTTTAAGCACAAAGCTACACAAAGGGCTATCTGTGCTCTGCCCACCAAGGGTATCGAAACCCGGTTTCTAGCATTGTAAGTCTGCAGACATACCATTGCCAATGGGGGAATTTTAAAATGAAAAATAAAGCTAGCTCTCATAACATCTGTAAATACTGACAGCTTCTTTCATACTGGCTTGATATACAAGCATAGTAACTTGTGGCAACCAATGAGAACCAGACACAAATGCATAAACTTTTTAAGCTTTAGCCTACCAGTTCAGTTTAAGCCTCAACTAAAATGTGCATTATGGAACCAATAATATGATAGATAAAATATTTAATTTATGAATTATCAGAATAACTAATCAACAAAATAATTACAACGTCTTTGTCAATAACCTTAGGAGTTGGCTTAGATGGAGAGAAATATAAATATATTTAATATAATAAAAGTTGAAAAATGGAACTTCAAGAATTAGTAAAAATCTAACAAAGTCTGAATAGATGGAACAGCATGGATCAAGGTTAACTGAGTTCAAAACAAAAGTTATTTTCAAATTCTTTTTATAAAGGTGGTTGGATGTGCAATTACCTATACACTAAAAATAAATATACAAAATCTAAAAACTGATAATGTTAATTATCTATCAAAAATGACAGCAAAATTAAAATATTTTATAGGCCAATAAACATGAACCAAGAATTATACTGCTTGACATTTGAAAGGAGAATTCTGTGGTCTAGGAAAGACCATTAAATACAAAAGATAAAACAATTTCTCCTCATAACATAATGGTGTTAGAAAAATGACAATGCTTTAATAGTGTGTGTGTGTAATTTGTGTACCATAACACAGTGATGCACCCTAAGTCTTGTCATATGTACAAGAAATATGAATATCTAGTAACTGAATACATCATAACATTTATATATGTCAAATAATTATTGTTATCATCAATATACTTCCATTTTACTTTGAATTCTGAGTGAGCAATCAGCTTTTGCTTTAAGGACCACTTAAAAATTGAGAAAACAATCATATTAATGATTCAAGTTGTAATGCAAATACACAAAATTGTTTGCACAATTTGAGTGTAAACTTACTAAAAAATAACAATTTTGACAAAAACACTAAAGTTTTATAAATCTAGAAGCATCAACAAGTTACAAACCATTACAACTTCAGAAGCCTTTGCAAACATCTCGATAGCCCTTTCTGGATGATAGCTTTCTATAATTCTATGAAAATAAGACAATAATAATTTACTATAATATGTAAAAGGATTGCTTTTAAAGTTTCTTGAAAGGAATTAGAATAAGGTTAGGTTAACTTTCAAGAAACTAACAGTTCATTACATGAATGTACAAGTTTACATCATTTAAAATATGTATTTGAACATCATAATAATAAAAATAAAACACAAAAGATGGATAATTATTTTTGTAAATTAGTGAATGAACGAATTACAAAGGTATCGTAAAACCATATTCAGTCATCAACTAATCAACATGAAGATGAAAACCTTTCAATGCTAAGATCCTCATGCTCTCTCCAACCTCCTTCATGGTTTTCCAACAAGACAACTATGTTAGCCATAATCCTCTAAGTTAAAATCTAACAATGCCTTAAGGTTAAGCAAATTCATGCACAGGGTTGAAGGAGAATGTGAAATAAGGATAAATAATAATTATAAAGGTTCCTGATTCTGTAACAGGTTTCACCTAGAGTATAAATTAAATTTTCCTTATCAGGTTACAGCAGAAGATAAAAGAGACTTTGAGGATTAAAAATATCTGCAACACAGTAAACTGAAGTGGTACAGTGATTTACTAAACTTAACTGAAGACGGCTTGAATGGGTAATGAAGAAAAACTTTAATATAAGTTTAACATAACAGCAAATGTACAATGTTTCAACAAGGTTTTGTCATCATCAGGTATTATTAGTCTCAAAGTGGGTTTCTCGTCACCAAATTTAAACTTAACTGAAGTGGTACAGTGATTTACTAAACTTCCCCATCTAATTATTGTTAAATAATATAAGTTTCTAATTCTATATGCTATCAAAGTTTGCTCATATGTTTTCTTAGAACTGTCAAAGGACATTTTTGGCATAAATGTATGTTCATCTCTAGATACTATTTAACAAAATTTTAACTCTACAAATGCATGTAGCTATGCCAAAACATGTTCAACATTTCTTATTTGTAAATAATGCTCAATAATCTTAAAACATGTTTTGTAATGACATTACGGTATGTGACGTACATTCTTTATTAACATAATACACTACAGACATATGTTAAGTTCTTTCTATTTTACTAGCAATGAGGTATCACCAGTTTAATCTCAGCTGTACATTTTATTTATAGTACCTGATCATCTCTATAAATCATATTCTAGTGTTTGACTTTAGATCCAATCAGTATAGAATCAACCCTAGAAACTATCAGAATGTCTCTGAATCAAATTGCTATCATAACATATACACAGTATTCTTATTATTAAACAGACTTACATAATTCTTTGTACTTCCACTTACTTGGCCCCTTTCTCCATTGACAAGGCTGCTGTATCTGGAGTTCCATATTCTCTGAACATCTGGCATGCTTGGTTTGTAAGTGTGACAACTTCTGTGTAATCTTTCATATCTTTTGCCATTAGGGCAGCTTGTTCATAGCACCTGAAATACAGTAAATTCAAACTCACCAGACTGGAAGACAATCTTCTTTTTTTTCATATTAGTTTCAAAAGTTTGTTTAGGTTTCTTAGGTTCATACTGAATTTATTTAATACCTACCAACTATACATTGTGCTGTTAGTTCAGTATTTTACAATAGCGTACCACAAAAACAAACCTCAAAAAAGAAAACAATCATGAAAGCATGGTGTTCCTCAGCTGAACACTAACACACATTTTTCTAATACTGTGAAACATACTAATATACTAATAGTACACTAAAAATAATTTACTATACTTTTTCAACATATTTCTTTGATGTTTATCTAATAACAATGCTTCATAACACTGTAGTTATTCTTAACCTATATCTAATTTCTTTATTCAGATTAGTAGTAGTAAAAAACATATTACATTATCAAATAGCATGATAGTGTACTTACTTTGCAGCTGAGAAAAAACTGAAAATGTCAAGGAAATTCTGGTTCTTATTTTTTCAGCTATTGAACACCCTCCCATACAGACAGGGATCATCACTTTTATAATAACATCAGGTCAATACATTTTGATTAAATAACACAAATATTGAACATTGCTTAAGTTAACTAGAATATTTAAAAACATCATATTGTGTTACATTACATACTTCACACATTCTGCACAATATTAAGCAAGTTTAGCACTAGTCCAAATAAGAACATCCCATCAATTTATAAAAACTATTATTAAAAACAAATTGCAAACTAGCTAATTATTATCTGACTAACACATTGAAATGCTACAAACTTAAAGGATACGAATTATTCTTGATATAACAATCTGCAGCTCTTAGAAGAGCATCTTTACATTTTGAAAGAGCCCGTGCTCCTTTAAAGCATGTAGCTGAAACAAAGATTACCAAACATAAATACACACACATTACATTAAATAAAACCTCTACATGTCCATATATGAAAATGCTTGATATAAATAAAAGCAAAATTAAAATCTTCAGAGCAAAGTTTATGAGTCAAGCAAAGTAACAATATAAGCAACTACAGATCTGTTGGAAGATATTTGAAAATAAAAACTAGATTTTTAAGTTTTTTAAACTTCTCTCCTTAAAAAATACCAATGAAAAAATTGTTTTGTTCTTAATATTTATGGGGTTTTGGGTCCATTTTACTTCACCTCT